TTCTGACATCTAACTATCTGTGTTTTATAACAAGCCTTTCAGGAGATTTTAATGCGCTCCAAAGTTGGAGAGCTAATAATCTAAAAAGTCAATAAAGCAGAAGTAAATTATTGACCCTATCTTACATTATGTGAGATCTTTCTAGAGATCAAGGCAAAAGTCTAATCTAGACCATCAACATGTCACCTGTCAGTGTACTCAAATTTAAGGCTCAAATATTCAAATCAATAAGGAACTCTTTCCAAAATATACAGACTCCTAAGTTCTATAGTTCAGATTATCAACAAGTGGTCAAGGTGGGCATAGGAACTGGCATTTTAAAGTCTTCCCCTATCATTTTGATGTCTTTCCAAAGTTGGGGATCAGTTTCTGCCCTTCATAACAGACCCAAGGTCCCCAAGAAAAGTGTTATCTTCACCAGAAACTAACTAGCTACGAAACAAGAAACAGCATTAAAAGTGACTCAGTTTAGCCCTGGCTGGTTTGGTTCAGTGGTTAGAGTGTCAGCCTGCGGACCAATGAGTCTCAGGTTCAATTCCTGTCAAGGGCATATACTTCTGGTTGTGGTTCATCCCCAGCCCTGGTCGGGGTCATGCAGGAGACAACCAGTTGATGTGTTTCTCTCACATTGATGTTTCTCTCTCTCTCCCTCTCTCTCTCCTTCCCTCCCACTCTATCTGAAGATAAATTAAAGAATATCCTCCAGTGAGGATTAAAAGAAAAAAAGTGAATCAGTTTATGTGGTTCCATGGTTGAAGCATCGTTCTGTGCCCAAAGCGTCATGGGTTTGATTCCTAGTCAGGCACATAATCCAGGTTGCGGTTTCTCTTCACAATGATGTTTTTCTCTCTCTCTCTATCTCCCTTCCTCTCTCCTTCTCTCTTGAATTGAAGAATAAAAAAAATATATCCTCAGGTGAGGATTAAAAAAAAAGTGAATCAGTTTGGAACTGACACACCTGAACAAACTTCTGTTGATTCTTAGAAACATTAAAAAAATATATATGTATGTGTGTATTTTTCAGGACAATATATAAATTATTTCCCTGAAAAATTATGAAATGCTTTTGTATTTTGAATATTTACAATGTACAAAAGGGTTGAAAGCAAAATATAGCAAAGACCTGCCAACGCACCTTGCAGCTTAAGAAATACAATATTATCACAATAGTTGAAGCTTTCTTGGTGCCCATCCCTAATAAAATTGCTATTCCTTCTTCTCAGAAATAATCTATTCTGAATTTATGCTTATCATCCCCAAGCACTTTTTTATATATATGGGTGCATAAATAAAAAATATATAGAATTGTTCTGCACTTTAAACATAAATTATTTAATACCAAAATTTTCTCCTGCTACTTGCTTTTGTACTCGATATTATGTTTATGAATCATCAGTTTTTATTCAATTTCAAATACTTCAGCATTTATTTGTATGATTCTACTACAATTTTCTTCAATGTTCGACTATTGATGGACAATTAGTTTTTCCCTGTTTTTAAAATTACACACGCAAAAAAATGCTCCTCTGATAATGATCATATTTATCTCGTTGGGTACATGACCAACAAAGGGTTTCTTCAATATGTACAGAAGTTGGGTTCCTATGTCATAAAGTATGTACATCTGCAATCTATACAGAAACTCCCAAATTGTTCTTAGCGGTCCCTTCGAGGTTCTACCACAATAGGTCAACCACGCTTAACACTGTCAAGGGTTTTTTTGTTTTGTTTTCATTTTAATAGACCAATGGGTAAAAAATGATATCTCCTAATGGTTTTAATTTGCATTTCTAAGATAACTACTGAAATTGGATTCCTTTCACTATATTCATTGGCTATTCCACTCTGGGGAACCATCCTTTCATGTCTTTTGCCTGATTTCTTATTGAGTTATGAGAATCTGAGTTATAGCACTTCGTTAATGGATATTATTTCTCTGCTCATTGGTCTTGTTGCCAAAATCTTCTTTGATGAACAGATTTTCTTAAATTTTATATATTAAATGTATCAAAACTTTCATTAATGGTTTTAGTTTCTATCCTTGCTTAAGAAATTCTTCTCTACCCTGAAATCATAAAGATAGACGCCCATGTTGATTTCTAAAACTTTCAAAGTTTTGCTTTCACATATAGGTATTTAATTCCATTGTAATTGATTTTTGTGAATGGTGTCCAAATATTCAAAACTTTCCCTGAAATTGTACACAAAAATCAATTATTATAGCATATAGAAATATTTAAATAACTGATTTTCCTAACCATTTATTGATGTAAACATCCTTTCCTCATTAATCAGGAATGCCACTTCAGTTATGTATCAAGTTTCCAAGTTCTCACATCTAATTAAAGAGTCTTGTCTGGTCCCTCCATTCTGTTCTCTTGGTTCATGTGCCAACCCTCGTACTGGTATCACACTCTCTCTGTTCATTGATATAACTTTAGAAGTCGTCTTCATATCAGAAAGAGAAAGTCCCTCCTTTTACTTTTTCAGAAACTTCATTATTGGTCGTTAGTGTTCCACATGAATTTTAGAATCAGCTTACAAATCCCTTCAGAAAAAATTCCTGTTGGGAATTTATTACAAGTTCACTGAATCTAGAGATCAGTTTGGGAAGAATTAAGAAAGAGAAAGAACCAGCATCTAGAGAAAAAGATGCTTCCATTTGTAAAAAACTGATTTGCTAGTAGAAACGTTTATGATCTGCATAAAATAACACACGAAAAAGTTTAAGATTTTCTGGTAATTGCCTTTCAGTACTTCCTTGATTGGCTGTTCGTGCATTTACTACAAAGATGTTTTATCAGGAAAAACACAGGCATTTCTTAAAAGTCAACACTCCTTTGGTTTTCTTAAATACAGTATCTCCATAAACTCAACAAAACCATCTTTGGTCAGGTACATGCCATTGGAATTATATCAACCCTTTACAACATCTAGAAATATTCATTTAAACCAACTATTCCTGCCTTGAAATATTTCCACATTTTAATAGAGTAGAGAATTAGTCAACTACATTAAGCATTTTGTTTTTAAAGATGTATTTCTCAGGTCTGATTATTTACAGTTTTACAGTTTTAGGTTTTTCAATAAAGACAGGGAATCTTCTCTTCACTGGACCATTGCGTAAATACCCATCTTCTGAGTACACTGTCCGTATTGCCCAACACTGACTCAGCTAAGACCATAAGGTTCTTGATCTGCTGCAGGGACATATCACCTGCCTTGAAAATGGAGGCTACTGGAGGAACTTTTCATAGTAGCAATCTTTAGTATAAAATATTTTAAAAGGACTACAGATAGCAATAGTATATGTTTTAGGTTGGTATCAAATGCAAATAAGCATTTGAAATTTTCACTGGAAAAAAAATTAAAAATTTAACTGCCAGCCCTGGCAGGTTTGGCTCAGTGGTTAGAGCGTCGGCCTGCGGTCCAGAGAGACCCGGGTTCGGTTCCCGCTAAGGGCGCATACCTCGGTTGCGGTTTGTCCCCGGCCCTGGTTGGTCGTGTGGGTGGCAGCCACTCGATGTGTCCCTTTCATGTCAATGTTTCTCTCTCTCTCTCTGTTCCTCTCTCTCCCTCCCACTCTACCTGAACAAAGAATGGAAAAATGTCCTCGGGTGAGGATAAAAAAAAAAAAAAAAATTTAACTGCCATATGATCCAGCCATCCCACTTCTAGGTAGATTCATATTACACTGAGCATATATCATAGAGAAATGGAAGAGATACCCCCATGTTCATCACAGCATTATTCACAATAGCAAAGACATGAAAACCACCTAAGTGTCCATCAAGCGATGACTGGTTAAAGAAGATGTGAGAGAGATCGACAGATACAGTAAATAATATTCAGCCATGAGAAAGGAGAACATGAATGGACCTTGAGGGCATTATGTGGAGTGAAATAAGTCAGACAGAGAGACAAATACTGTATAATACCCCTCATATGTGGAATCTAAAAAGCTGAAGTCATAGAGACAGTGTGTAGAACGGTGGTTGCTAGGGGAGGGGGGAATGGGAAGACGTTGGTCAAAGGGAACACACTTCTAGTTACAATATGAAATAAGTTTTGGGGATCTAATGTACAGAAAGCATAGTGATTATAGTTAATCATATTGTGTTACATACTTGAAAGTTGTTAGGAGAATACATCTTAAATGTTCTCACCATCAAGGAGAAATGGCAATTATAAGATGGAGGCCTTAGCTAACACTATGGTGGTAATCATTTTGCAATATATAATGTAACGTATGGACCCATCATACAGCTTAAACTTACACAATGTTGAACATTAATTATATCTCAATAAAGTTGAAAAAAATAAATAAGGAATAAACTTGTCTCTAAATCTCTGGTACTGGCAGACCTTTCTCTGGTTTTCATTTCCCTCCATATATTTGGCTCCCCGAATCTCCCTTCTTGGAAGCACAATGATAAATCCCAAAAGATTTTGTTCTGATTTACCTAGCATTTATAGGCATTTTGAAGCATGAGGATTTTTAAAATATCTAGTCTACTACATTGCCAGAAGCAAAATCCTGCCATTCTACTGAAGAACAAGACTATCTTAAAGTCTCATGATGTTTTTACTCCTTCAATTCATTTTAACACTGGATCCTCACATTTCTGTAAAGGACAATAATGCAGTCATTGCCCTGTCCTCTTTATAGACAAGAAAACCAAAGCACCTGGACATGGATATTTGTCCCCTATTGTTTATCTAAACACCCCTCCCCCGAAATTATTTTACATATATTCTGATAATAAAAACCAGTGTATCTTAAGAATTAGGTTAATGAGAAACACTTGGAGGGTCATTTACATTCTGCATCATTCATACCTGGCACCAGAGCGAACTGTGTGACCTTGGGCAACTCACTGAACACTCTGCCTCCCAAAGAGTTTCAAAACACCTACTTCATAAAATTATGAAGATGAAATTATTTCATTCACATCAAGCACATAAAAAAGCATGCAGCAAGAGTAGAAAACAGTCCTTACTTTGAATAAGCCATGCTTTTGGTTGCGCTGACCAAGCCATAAATTGCTTCCTGGGGGAAGGTTGGTCTCAGGAGGGTCTATCACACGTTCATAAATCCTGTAGGGGCAAAAAACACAGTTACTAATAGAGAAGCTCAAAGCAGAACCAAAACGTGCACCTGCTGCTTAAAGTACTCACGGCGATAGCTTCTGCTATGGAGATATGAAGCCAATGTGTTGCATCTTTGAAATGACAGGCAGGTAACATGAATGTAAAGATCTGTCCCTTGACAACACTTGGTGTTGTTTCACAACCTCAGGAGTTCCCTGGGTGAACTTCAAAACTGGCCCCAATACACAAAGGGCAAGGAGAGACTGAAGAAAGAGGCAGACCACTCCAGATTGGTAGGTGGCAGTTTTCATGAGCAAGAGAACGTACATAGAAGGCTTGCCTTGGGTGGCCACAAGAGGAGATCTTCACACCCACCCACCAGAATCTTAAGTTTACGTAGAGTCCTTAAGAGGTTCGGACATGTATACAGGCCAGATGGTTTCAATAACACATTACTCTCTCAAGGCTACATCCTTGAGTGGCTCCTACTATGGGGACAGTGGATGGAACGTGCATTCCAAGGATAAGGGAGATCGTGAGGAGCCCCCATTTGCCCAGGTCCAGCTTGCAGTCAAGCAGTCAAGTCCTCTCAATGACCTCTTCCAACACCTGGACACATTACCTGGGCCTTCATGGCTTTCTATCTGCATCCTTTTGTTGGGGAAAGGAGGAAGAGGGTAACATGGGTGTCTCTGTGGAGCAGTGAACAGTCCTCACACTCTGTGAGCAAAGTGCTTTTATCCATATTACAGATGAGAAAGCTCAGGTTCAGGAAAGATACATGGGTCAATCAGAGAGTAGTGGGGTAGGGATGAGAATCTCCAGCTGCCTGGTTCCAAAGCCCATGCGTTTCCCTTTACACTACTTGTCCCTGGTCTTGGCTTATTTACCTGCTACTCATTTCTATGGTAACCTGCTATTCCCCTCCAAACACATGAGTAGCAGCTGCAGGTGACAGTATGCTCAGTCTACAAAATCAAGCTACTGAAATCATCATCCAATCAACAAATATTTATTGATCACTTTTTATGGTCTGAGCTCCACATGAAGCAACAAGAGATGTAGCAATAAGACAGACATACAAAGTCCTGCCCTCATGGAGCAAAAAAGGTAAGATAAAGTTCTGCATGTAAACAAAATCCTCATATATCTTCTTACGTATATGATAATATAAAGACACAGAACTAATACAAAGGATACAACAGCCCCAAGATCTTTGTAGGTACCTACTCAACAACTGCATTATCTCAACTGTCCTGTCTACTACACCCCTGTCAGTCAGATAAAGTCTCTTTAGATAAAGTCCCTGCAGCCACCAGCTGATCACGGGCCTCCAACCCACCACTTGCATGGACCTCCCAGAACTTGAGTGCTGAGACGAGGAAGATCAAGTTTGTCTGAGAACTGAACTTGTCCTCAGATGCTCAGAAGGTTCTGGGTGGGGAAAGACAGAGTGACCAGCGTGTCCTGATACCGCTGTCCATTCCTTGCATTCTCTAGTCCTTGCTCAGAACAGCTGCAGGAGGAGTCATCTCCAGGTAGGTCTAGAGGTCAACAGTCCTCCTTGCTAAGATGGAGCTGGCTGCCCCTGCCGGAGGGTGATACACTCCTCGAGTGGCTCTCAGAAGGAAAGTGTGGGAAAACTGAAAAACTGTCCAGCGTGTCAAAGCAGGAGAGTGATTGCAAGACTCTTCCAATTGAGAGCTGTCACACCACAGCCTTGCATGGCCCATTACTCCACTATCCCCACTGGAAACCTGCTGTTTCCTAACGATCCATGCAAGGTATTCAACTGACAAGGCTCTAAATATATCGGGTCCTTCTTTACTAATTATCTCTCCCTTACAAATGGAGGCTTAAGACATAAGCAAAGCAAAATCAGTTTCCTTTAAAAAGACAGGCTGTGTTCTCGCCACAGAAATTCAACCGATGTTTTTGTTCGTTAGAATGAACCATTTTAAATTAAATAGATTGTCAAAAGTGCTTTAACACAGAGCATGCTATATACTTCCTTAAAAAGTTTCTCCTAAAATTAGGAAAAAGACAAATTTACAACATAAGAGAAATGCATAAGTTATAGTAGATCATCTTGATAAAATTTACTACCATCATTAAGAGTGATAAATATGCAGGTTGTGAAATATGGGAAAGCATGCAAAATAATTTTCTAGGGAGGAAAGTAGAATGCAAAATTATTTATCTACTGTGGAGATAACGATGCAAAAATTATGCTCAATGTTGGTGAATTTCAGACAAGGCCAAAGAGAAACAGAAATCACTGTGCTTAGGTGAAGAGGCAGAATTTTCTATAAGGCTGTTTTACTAAAGAATTGAAAATGTTCTCAAACTATTTATCTTAACCTTCCTTCTAAAACATTTGCATCTGTCAAGGTGAGAGGAGCTTTCAATTCCAGCACGTTTTGGTTTTCAATAGAGAAGGTGAGCTCCAATGAGCAGAACAGACCCTTCGTCAAGTAAGTGATGAATGAAAGAACAATCAAAGCATAACTCTCAGCCCACAACCAGAGTAACTAACTGTGTCTTAGAAACAGTTGAGGAAGCAAACATCTGAGGCCCACCCACTGTCACCTAAAGCAAGGCAGTGACCCACAGCCCCTGTATTAAGGGTGGAGCCGATTTCCAGTGTCACAGTTTCTATCAGGGGCCCTTCCTGATCCCCCCCCCCCCAAAATACTGCTGGCTGTTGTCTTCCTGGCTGTCCAGCCAATTCACTCCAAGAGGCAGCCTTCAGGGGAGAAGTCCATGCAAGCAGAATCGACAAACTGGATACAGATCTAGCAAAATGAGGAGAGCTTAAAAACATAGTATAAAAAAAATATCAAAACCCACACAGAAGAAATCTAATCATGAGAAAGTATCAGGAAACCCAAGTTGAGGAACATTTCACAAAATAACTGTGTGTGCTCTTGAAAATGTCAATGCCATGAAAAATAAAGACAGACTGAGAAACAGTTGCAGATTAAGAGACCAAAGGGACATAAAAATTATATACAAGACAGGATCCTGAAATGAATCTTGGCGCAGGAAAAAAAAAAAAATCTCATAAAGAACATTATGGAGAAAATTGGTGAAATTTGAATAAGAACTCCTGATTTTGAGAATTTGGTGATGTATATTTAAGTAAATGTTTTGTTCTTAGGAAGTACACACTAAAGTACATGGAGTAGACGGTCATAATGTTTGCAACGTACTCTCAGAGGGCTCAAAATAACAATGTGTGCACGTGTAAGTACATAAATAAGTAAACACACACATTATTATTTGGAAAGAGAAAGAAAAAGCAGAACCTGGGCAATGAGTAGATGATTGTTTTGGGTACCCTTCTTAAAATACTTCTGTAAAATTAAAATTATTTTAAACTAAAAAGTTTTCAATGTGAAGTAAAAAGCAAAAGAGTCTATAAGGTATGTAAACTAAAAATACACACCTGCAAAATCATCTGAAATCTGTAATCTTAGTCAAGGTTACAGACAAATTTAAAGACTCACATAAAGGATACCATACCGTTTTCCTGAGGGATTGGGAATGGTGAAAGGGGTGAGTGAGTGAGTGAGTGAGTGAGTGAGTGAGTGAGTGAAACACAGACTAATGCTGATAACATATAATAAACTAAGAAATAGAATTATCACATCTCTACCTGTACCAACATGCCAGACAAATACAATCAGAACCCTGGGGAAAAGGCTACTGAACCCCAGGGTATGGCTTAGGTGGACAGGCTCATGGACTAGGCAGAGAGGGCACAGCAGTTTGTGACTCAAATCTAGTGTCACCCAAGTCAAGTGAAACAAAAGTCAAAGCTCATGTAGTGAACTCCCAGGTTTCTGTGGAGTCAGGAAATGGAACCTTCTGCTAGTCCAGTATTCCGTTAGTGAGATTTACTCACATCAACAACCTGTCTACAACCTGTGTGACATTGTGCTGTCTATGGGGAGACACACAGGCCACATCAACAAGGCCACGTCCTCGCCCTCGGGGCAAACACCTGGCACAGAGACATTGTGCATGCGTACACCCTCTGGAAGCAGAGGGGAAAGAAATGGAATTCTGTCTGCGATAGTCAGAGAAGACTTTGCAGAAAAGAGAGGACTAGAGCTGGGTTTGGAATGAAGTGAAGTCCAGCTGGTGTGGCTCAGTGGTTGAGCGTCGACCCACGTATCAAGAGGTCGCTGGTTCGATTCTCTCAGGGCACATGCCCAGGCTGTGGGCCCGATCCCCAGTGAGGGGCATGCAGGAGGCGGCCAGTCGATGTTCTCTCTCATCGATGCTGCTATCTCTCTCTCCCTCTCCCTTTCTCTCTCTCTCTAAAATCAAGAAAGAAAAATGATTTTTTTTAAATGGGGACATTGCTGCTGACTGCATGGATGGGTGAGCTTACATGAGATAGGCATGATGCCCCTGGAACACAGTGGGTGCTGCCATTCTCTGACACTCACAGGTGCCTGAGAATCCGCCACACAGGCCTCACGACCCATTCCCACCCTCTGGCCGCATCTCACGCCAAGTGCATCCATGGAGATAGGATGCTCAGTGTCCTAGGCACCTGTCTGTGCTTTGGGATGCGGTCCAAAGGAATGGCATCACTGTCACACGAAGAATAGTTAAGAGCACGAGACTCCGATGTTAAAAATTCAAGACTGGGGTATCTATTTTGTCATAAGCTTCCACCACTTTAAAAATTGTAAAGTCCTAAGCTTCTTTTCACCTTCCACAAATTTAAAAGCTAGAACAAGTGAATATACAACAGGAAAAATTAGTCGACAGCGTTCATTTTCTGTTGACTATTTTACCCGATTCACCATGAAGCAAACTGACAACCTATTTAGATTCTAAGCCTTGGATTAAAAACAAAATTTGAGGACATAGCATATTTTCTGTGACATCCTAAAATTCTAGTATTTTTATCATTTTAGTTTTAAAATGTTATTCATGTTTCCATTCTTTCCAGCCATACATCACAACCTTGTCTGTGTAAATTACTCAAA